ATATACACACACACATATATGTATATATATGTATATATGTGTGTATATGTATATATATGTGTATACATATATGTGTATATATGTATATACGTATATATATGTATATATATGTGTGTGTATATGTGTATATATATATATATATTTATTTATTTTTTACTTCCAAACTTTTACCCTTAGGCCTTTTACATGGTATTTCCTATGCTTAGAAACTCTTTCTTCTCTTCTTCATATAGTCTACTCTTATTTATTCCTCAAGTCTAAGCTTAAATGTTATTCCTTTCAGAAAGCTTTCTGTGATCCTGTAAGATTAGCTTGAGGCTCCCTGCTATGTGCTGCCATTTAACTCTGCATTTTACTAATAGTATGGGTATTTTAATTATCTTTTTTCTCTATAGCACTATGAAGGCAGAGACTATAGCAGTCTGGATCCAATCTGAAGATAGAACCATATGGTGATTTAAACAAGGGAGATTTAATATAAAGAATTATTAAATTATAATAAAAGAATCACTATAGGTTATAAGAAAACTCTGTTAGGTGCCCTAGGGCTGAGAGGAGGCCCAAGAGGTCATACTTGGAAGCAGGCCCTTTCCAGGAGCCATTTCCAAGTCTGAGGTATAGATCTCCTTGGAGAAGGTGATATTGAACCTATTGAATAGCAGAGGATACAGATTGGCCAGAAAAAGCTGGTTTACTGTCCCACTGGGGAGTGGTGCTATATAGGGCATTTAATGTTTATCTCTTCTGTTGGCAGGTTAGGTACTGACAGTGTGGTTGACCAGGTCAGCCTTGTTAAGAGGAAGTTCATGATGTTGAGCCCATGCATATCTTTGACACCATGGCTGCTTTGTTCATAAGTCTATTAAAGAAGCACTGGGGTGGCTGGGAAAAGAGGCTAATTGAAGTCCATAGAGTTTATCATTGTCTACCTGATAATTGAGAGTCTTAATTATCTAGGGCATCTAGTAGATACCCTTTAGTGGGCATTCACATGAAACACAAATATTTTCAGAGTTTATGCCCATTTAAAGAGGCCCATCTGCATACATTTCCCCCAGATTTCCTTGACATTATCTTCCAATCTTGTTTCTTCCAGGTCCCTGACTGCCCAGCTAGATCATTACCAACTGCTTATGAATGAGTCTAAATCTATACTTCTGGTACAGTTCTACCTCATTCCAGACATGGTAGACAACTAAATGTACTCCTCAAAGTTCTGCTCATATGAAAGATCAAAATGAACAGAACAGCTAAAAAAAAAAATTAGAATAAAATAATAATGCATATCAACTGTCTCAGTGAAAGAGGAGTTTCATAGCAAAAAAGCAATGGAGAAATTATTAAGGAAAAGATTATCTATACAAAAGCAGAAATCTTTGAGATACCAAATCAAGATTGGTAGCAAGTATAAATCATTGTAATTGATTTATAAAATTCTCATAAATGAAAAATTTAGTAAAAACTCTATAAGGACAAATATCTCAAAATAAAATATAGAGGGGTACGTGGGTGGCTCGGTTAAGCGTCTGACTTTGGCTCAGGTCATGATCTCACAGTTTGTGGGTTTGAGCCCCATGTCGGGCTCTGTGCTGACAGCTCAGAGCCTGGAACCTGCTTCAGATTCTGTGTCTCCCTAACTCTTACCCCTCCCCTGCTAGTGTTCTTTCTCTCTCAAAAATGAGTAAACATTAAAAAAATTTTTTTTTAATTTTAAAAAAGGAGGAAAGAAACTTCAGAATTAAGAAAAAAAGAATTTCTTTAAAAAATAGAAAACAAATGGATATATTAACTTATGTTAAATTTTGATAGTAATTTTCAAAAATACAAATTTAGTATCAGTCCATTAAATTACCCAATATTACTACTACTACTACTACTACTACTAATCCATTTCAGAAGTTAAGAATGGTAAATATACAGTAAAATTGGTTTATCTCCTATACTATTGATGGAATTGGGGGAAAAAAATCAGTACAGGGGCACCTGGCTGACTTGGTTGGTAGAGCATGTTGCTCTTGATTTCAGGGTTGTGGGTTTGAGCCCCACATTAAGTGTAGAGATTACTTAAATAAACTTAAAAAAAATCGGTACAATTCTGAAAGAAATCTGACAATATGTAGGAGATCCTTAACAAATGGTGGTTTTCCTTTGTTCCAGTGATTGACTTCTAAGGATCCATTTTAAGGAAATAATAAGAGCTTTAGGCACTAGGATGCTAATTACATCAGCATGACAGTGTAAGCATTCTTTTAGAAGTTTAAGGGAGGTATCTTCTGAGTGTACTGAATTTCACTGGAAGTTAGTCTTTATTTTCCAAATAAAAATAGGAAGGTCATATTTTATTGCAGAACTTAAAATGATTTCATAGATATAATATAAACTTGATCATAATGTATAAGCTGGCTTTCAGTTCAAGATCTAGACACAATAAATTTTTGAATGAACTCTTAAGTTAACCACTGAGTCGGATAACATAAATGGATAATTTTGTAGACATTGTAATAGAAGGGTAGAAAAGAATCTAGGTCAGGAAGGGATAAGAGGGGGAAAAGGGTCTATTGAAAGATTGACAAGGAAATCAAAGGTAAATTTGTTTTTTGACAATAAAATTTTACACATTTTTTCATCCATGGATAATGTCCCATATTTAAGTAATTTCATATGCTTTACAAAAAAACCCTTCTATGTTATTGCATTTAATTCTTATAACAACTTTGTGAAAAAAGGTTTGGTATTTCTGGTTTACAGATGAAGAAATGGTAGCTTTATTATGGTTAAACAACTTACCTAAACGTTCATTGTTTGGAAGGCATAGATTTCAAAATCTGTAATATATGTAAAGGTTAGGAGCATCAGATTTGGAGCCGGGCTGCCTGTGTGCAAATTCTGACTCTACTAGTTCCATCCATGCATCAGTTTCTTTATAAGTAAATGGAGTAAATAATGATATCTATTTGATAGAATTGTGACAAATTAATTAATCCAAATAAAGAATTTAGAGTAGTCTTGACACATTAATAAAGTATCCAACATTACACATTTAATACACAATACATATAATTGGAGTTTATAGTTGTATAATATTTTATTTTTTATAAAATGCATTCATATATATATAATCCCATTTGATTCTTTCAGCCAGCTCTTGAGTTGGGCAGGGCAGTTATTACATTATGCCTTGTAATTTTTGATTACTTATTATGAAATAATTTGCTCAAATTCATATAGCTTTTAGACGACAGAGTAAGATAAATAGTCTAGGTTTTCTGATCCCAAATTCAGTGTTCCTTCATAACTCCATTCTAATAAATGCAACATAAGGCAATATATAACTTACTTCTTATTTTGAAGTTTTGGCAAAATACTTTTGAGAGTTAACATTTTTATTTGGTCTGGATGTGAAAAGTTGTTTTTGATGAGGAACAGAAAGTTATTTCCTTGGATATTAATAACTGTGTCCTAAAGTTGGTGCTTGGAATCTTCTGAGGAAAGAATGAGAAAGTACTACTATTAATGCTTATACATTTTCTTTTTACAAAATTTTTAACAGCTACATCCTCATCTGCAGTATCAATACACTCCCCATCAGTTATTGTAGCTGTTGTAGAAGGGAGAGGACTTGCCAGAGGTGAAATAGGAATGGCAAGTATTGATTTAAAAAGCCCACAAATTATATTGTCTCAGTTTGCAGACAACACAACATATGCGAAGGTAGGTATTAAACTCTTAGAAAGTGGTTGACTTACTCAGCAGCACGCAGATTTTCAAGTCACTGCTTTCCTAATTAGTTTACTTTTTCATGGAATAAAGGTAATTTACAATGCACCAATGTAGGTTACTCTGAGTTAAAATTGTTTTACATCTGATTTTAATTTTTTGAATGTATTTTGTCCTAAAAATAATGTGCTTTGCTGTTACTTGAACATTTCAAATTACTGTTAGTTTCTAAAATTAACATCTTCAAATTAATAATTCCTGGTCTCATTCCCAAGGCTGTATATTAGTAATGCCATCTCCAAAGGGTTGTTTCCACTGGACAGTATTTGAATTTTATTTTCCAGAGTTCCGGGAAATGGGTCTTTGAGGTCAGTCATAATTTAACCTCTTCTTGCCTTCACTTCCTATCACTTATCATTAATTTGGGCCACTGGCCTATTGTCATGGGAATTTCTGTCCCTTAACCAGATGGAAGTAATCTGCTTCTAATCTCTATATTCTAAAAAGTTATTTGACCCAATTACTATTATTAAAATATATACATATATATATATATATATATATACACACACACACACAATGTTATTTTCAGCATTTTATTCCTTTTTTCCTTTCCCTAATTCCTCTTTATGGTTTTTCAATACATAGGTTTCCTTTTCCTACCAGTAATTAATTTTTTAATATACCTGACAGCCTAAATGATTCTAGTACTGCATGCTAACTATCGCCAGGTATTTCACATTTTTATGCAGTTTTAAAAAATAGGAAAAAAAGCTTTTTTAAAAATAGGAATGTTTGGCAGATTAAGAATTTCTGTGTCTAGAATGGTTCTAAGAAATGCAACTATATTGTGAAAAGAATAAGTTGTAACACAGGTATTTCTCTTCGGTGTTTCTATACTGCTCAACTTCTAAGCTGTACCAGTGTGACTATATTGATTAAATCACCATAGTTACACTATTGAATGTATGTTTTTTATGGAGATAGATAAAATAATGAGTAGAAAAATTTATTTTAAAACATGTTATTTTAGGAATATATATTTGATAAGTTCAAATTAATTTTTTAGTTTAGAGCTGTTACAAATTATTGTGACTTAAAATATAGCCTATGTTTATGATATTTTATATTTGTAGTTATATAGAAATGCTTAATATATCATTATTAGATATATGTTTTTTAACTCATATAATTAGAACAGCTGTAATTTTGTGTAACTATGTATTATTTTAAGTACTTATCTCTTAGAAAAAGTATGTCACTTGTTTGGTTTTAGAGAATACCAAGCTTACATTTAAGAAATTATTTATTCAAATGATTTTAGGTGATCACTAAACTCAAAATTCTATCGCCTTTGGAAATAATAATGTCAAATACTGCTTGTGTTGTGGGGAATTCAACTAAGTTGTTTACTCTGATCACAGAAAATTTCAAGGTAAATGATTTTTATTCTCAATAGTAACACTCAAGGTCTTATTTATTTATTTATTTATTTATTTATTTATTTATTTATAATGTTTATTTTTGAGACCAAGAGAGATAGATCATGAGCAGGGGAGGGGCAGAGAGAGGGAGACAGAATCTGAAGGAGGCTCTGGGCTCTGATCTGTCAGCACAGAGCCCAATGTGGGGCTCGAGCCCACAAGCCGTGAGATCATGACCTGAACCGAACTCGGATGCTTAACTGACTGAGCCACCAGGCGCCCCAAGGTCTTTATTTAAAATCCATTCTATAATGGCATTCTGGAGAACAATAATTTGAGTAACTTTATATTTACCCTAAAGTACTAAGTACAAGTCCTAAGCTAAGGGACTATTAATACATAAAATAAAAAAATGACAGGACATCCACTTACTTGATTTGGCACCCTTGATCTACTTAAAAAATTTTTTTAATGTTTATTTATTTTTGAGAGACAGAGACAGAGCCTAAGTGAGGGAGGGTCAGAAAGAGAGAGAGAGAGAGAGAGAGAGAGGGAGACACAGAATTTGAAGCAGGCTCTAGGCTCTGAGCACAGGGCCCCACATGGGACTCACACCCCTGAACCACGAGATCATGACTTGAGCCCAACTTGGACACTCAACTGACTGAACCACCCAGGCGCCCCTTGATCTACTTTAAACAAAAGGGAAAATATTTCAGATAATGAGGTTTCTCAGAGTATATAGAAAGTAGATCCTTAGAGGAAAAACAAAACAAAACGAAACTGAATTTCCTTAGGTAGAGCTTTGTGGAAACTAGTTATTGTGCTGCCAGACTAGTTGAAATTGAGGTTCTTATTCTAGGGAATAGCACTATCAGCAAGTACTTTTCCTTTTAGAGAATTTGATCTGTATTACAGAATTGTTTCAGCTTCCCCTGGTAGCATGTACTCCTCACAGTTAGCCTACTGCTCTAAGCCTCCATCTGTGGGACTGTGACAGATATGTGCTCGGAAACTTTATCCAGCGAATGATCTCCCTCTAAGCCAGGACGTCTCCGACATGCAGTTTATCTCTTTCCTCTAGCAAATGTTTTGTGGAATGGGGGTTGTAGTTCCCTAATCAAGTAGGTAGCATTGCAGTTGGAATAACACCTCAGGAGTGCAAATTATTTTCAGAATATACTATACTTTGTTATGTCTATAGCCTTATCTTTAACACATTTGGCATCAAGCTGTGATTTAGATTCCAGTGTAGTTGTTAATATATTCAGCATCTGCAGTCATTTAAGTTTTCTTCTCATGCTCTTAGAGATCCTGTGTAGCTCAGCTGTCTTTGACTTATTGCTAGAAATGGCCCCTATTATAAATCTGTTCTTTCTATTATACAGATCTCTTTACCTGTTATCTCTTTTATTCATTACTTCAAACTTCTTTTCATCACCTCTATTTATATATACTTTTCTAACTTTTGTTATTTTGCTCTGCTTAAGCATTCCAGGTTTTTGGCTTGTTAAGTAACAGAAATTCAACTTACACTAGCTTAAGTAAAAAAAAAAAGGGAGTGGGTGGGAATTTATTGATTTATGTAACTGAGAACCCAAATGAATGATTGGATAGATCTTATCCCCTACTCCCATCCTTACCACGATTTTTTTTTTAAGAACACTAAATCATACTTTAATCCTGTTGAAGGAAATTTGTGCTAAAATTACCTTGGGATGACATGTTTTTAAGAATATACATGGTATAAAGGTATAAAGCAACCAGCTTTGGGATGATTTGGACTGTCAGCCTGCAGTAACTTGGGCAACACAGGCATTACATTTTTGACATTTAGTTATCCCCACTTGCAAAACAGAAATCACAGTTACTATCATATAATTAGCTTTACATTGTTAACATTGTTCAGAACATTTCGAAGAATTTTGCTAAAACGGAGAACACAGGCTATCTCCATAGCTGATTTAAGCCTTTTCCTATAAGCTTTTATTATGTTGCAAAAAATATATATACTAATACAATTTAAAGTTTTGCCAATTAACTGGTCCTATCATATTATTATTAAAATATGTAATTCAGAAATATTTTTTTTAATTTTATTTTTTATTTTTTAAAGTTTACATCCAAATTAGTTAGCATTTAGTGCAACAATGATTTCAGGATTAGATTCCTTACTGCCCCTTATTCATTTAGCCCATCCCCCCTCCCACAACCCCTCCCGTAACCCTCAGATTGTTCTCCATATTTATGAGTCTCTTCTGTTTTGTCCCCCTCCCTGTTTTTATAATATTTTTGTTTCCCTTCCCTTATGTTCATCTGTTTTTGTATCTTAAAGTCCTCATATGAGGTCATATGATTTTTGTCTTCTAATTTCACTTAGCATAATACCCTCCAGTTCCACTCCATCGTGGTTAATGAAGCCAAGATTTCATTCTTTTTTGATTGCCAAGCAATACTCCATTGTATATATATATACACCACATCTTCTTTATCCATTCATCCATCAATGGACATTTGGGCTCTTTCCATACTTTGGCTATTGTTAACATGTAAACATGGAGGTGCATGTGTCCTTCAAACCTTTTATTGCAAAGTATGGGTCAGATGGGACAAATGTTTTATATTGCAGTTATAATTTACTTTATTTGGGGTTTTATTTGGTTTTGGGAACCCCATACCTATTTCCCAGAGTGGCTACACCAGCTTGCATTCCCAACCATTTTTTTTTAATTGTAGACAGATTACCTCTGTGGGGTTTAAGATGATTATGATGGCTCCAGATTGATGTCATCTCAGCTTAGCCAACTTAGAGAAAATATTCTTCTTCTGGTGCTCCATCTATAAATTCAGGAAGGACCCCATGGGTTCACTGTACATTCCCACATGTTAGACTAATCACTATTTCTCAGGGTAGAAGCACTGTGATTGATTAATTTCTGGTCATTTGCTTTCTGTGGGGCACAGAGCACTTTCTGTAATTTACAGTCCTACCAAACCACATAGAATACAAGGTAGATGAGCCCTTCAAAAGGCAAAAACAGCATACATTTTCACACTTGAGATATAGGATAGTATAGCAGAGTGCTTATGAATAGAGGAGTCAGAATGTTGTTTCAGATCTTGACTCAGAGTAACCATGTGCAAGTTGAGGTGACCATGTGCAAGTTAAGTTACTTTTTTTTCAATATCAGTAATCTACCTTTTAGAGAATTGGTATTTTATGAAAGGTAACTAGAGAAATGAAGCCTCATTGATAAGTTTACTTTAGACCAAGTCCTAAAGAGGTGAGAGAGAGAACCACAGAAGTATTTGGGTAAAAGTATTAACTTTTTCAGTATATTTTCAATATCATTACATACCATAAAATTATTTCATTAAATGAGAAGCAATATGAAGTGGAAGGACTTTGTAGGCAGAGAAAATCTTGGTTTCATCTCTGGCATATATCAAATGTATGATTGTTAGAAAGCCTACTTTTAGAATTTATTTTTAAGACAGTTATAGTTAATACAAGACTTATGTCAAAGTGTGAAAGACTAGCTGAAATAACTTAAAACAATCTTGGTGCATAAGAAATTCCCCTACCTCCTCATTTTTTTCCCTTTCTTCTAGCTCTTTCATAGTCCATTGTTATTATATTACCTTTCTTACCTATTATCTTTATTCAGAGTAGGTAAACCTTTTACTCTACAACTCCATGCTTTTTTCCTACTCTTTTAAAAGTTCAACTCCTTTTATTCTTTATTCTAAATAAATTCATCCCATGTAGGTAGCATCTCCTAGATTTATGGTGGCTGGAATTGGTGTTTCAGTCTCAGCAATAATATTAAAGGATCTACTCTCTCTAATTATGTTAGGTATGTAAGACTGAAAGTAAAAAACCTGGGTGGTGATGCTGCTGTAGAATAAAATTAGTAGAAGGCAGAGATTCATGTTTATTTTTTATTGTACCTACCATATTCAGTTATATGTCATATGAGTATGGTCTAATAAGAGCTATAGATTACTATAATTCACTTAGCAAACAGTCACTTTTTTCATAAATAAGAAAAATGTCCTATTTAACTCTGGAAGATAATAAATAATAAAAAATAAACTTTATATGGTATTATCAAATGTACTTCCTGTACCATTTCAGAAAGCAGTTTTGGGCAAATACAAAACTTAAAATTTATTTTGAAATTAAAACTTCTTTTCAGTTAATTTTACTACTATCCAAAGGAAAATGAAACAAGGACTAAAATACTTCAATGCATTGGCTATGCATGAAACAAATTTAAAAGGACTATCTAATGGAGTTCAGTCCAAATAGATTATGACTTAATGAAAGTAATAAATCTCTAGTTTGGGTTTCCACATGAGCAAGGTCTTTATCTTTTTTTTTCTCTGCTGTATCCTTACAAAAGTCTGGCTTATAATACATACTCAGTAATTACTAAAATAGTAAAATACTTAGCTAAAATTTATACACAAGGCATATCTTGGTAACTTAATTTAACATTGAATTTCTCCAAATAAGTCATAATCTGTGGCCATTATGGTTGCTCACTTTACTTTGGAGTGAAATGCTCAAGTAGCTACTGTGAACCTAGAAATGTGAGACATAGAGCTGTGTTCCTGTAACTTTGTACTCCTAAGAGACTCAGCTAAGACAGGGAATGATATTTTTTAGGAAGGATATTTTTTAGAACATATTAAATAGATACTTTCTTTTGAGCCAGGTTAGACTATTTGTTTACTCAGTTAATCACAGTGACTCCCCTCATCGCAAGATCATGACAGTTTTTTTCATATATTTGGGGCTTCTAATTCTACCTTTAAAGCTGTCAGACATTTCATTATTTATAATTTAGAATTCTTAGAATGGAAACAAAATTGACACACAATTGAATATTGTCTTCTAACACATGATTTATTGGAGTCCTTAGGTGTCAGACTTCAGAAAGAATCTCTATTTTTATCAACTCTTATGTTTTAAGGTTGTTTGTAGTTTTCAAAAGTAACACTTGGT